GAGTCTTTGGCAGCGCCTCCGCCATTCGCTCACCTTCCCTCTTGCCCTGTTTGCGCCCATCATTTGCCTTCTCTCCCTACCTCCCCTCAACCTCGTACCCTACCACTCCTCCTGCTCCCTGCCTTCTTCCCCTTACCTTCCACTCTTTGCTCCCCTCCCTCCTCCCTCACCCATCACTTTCCCCCTGTCCTCCCCCTCCCCACTCACGCTCCTCTTCCCCCTCCCTCCCTCACCTCCCCCGACGAATGGACCGGCCGTACCTTTCTATGCCTTCCCGTGAACGTGTCCCTGTTGGCTTGCCCGAGCGACGCGTACGAAGCTTCGCCATCACGGCAGAGTACTGCCGGCCGACTCGTATTACGCCTGCCGAAAACATCAGCAGCGACAGGTTTGTTCTGCACCGCTGCTGCGCCCGCAAAAAAAAAACTAAGAGAATCAGTCTTTAGTCACTTCCGACCTTAGTGCATCAATCGGCTAATGACTAAGCCAAAAAAGTTAAAAAAGATCAGAAATTTAAACATTCGTAATTAAAAAAACGAATTAAACGTTATTTAATGAGAAACGTCGAAGCAGCCGATGGGAACTCAGCACCGGCCGAGACACGAAAACAATAGAACATTCCTTAGTAGTCACCATCGAAAACACGGTATATAAGCTATGGCATCGTTCTTGCAACATGAACCACAAGGAAAACAGAAGAGCCTGCTGAGCTTTACTCACGACCTTCGTAACTAGTCACTAATTGACCAGTTACTGACGGAGAATATCTAAAAGCATCTAGCTAACGAGTCGAGGGGGAGAGTGCGGCTTAGACGCCGAACAGTACTATACGTGCATATAATGCACTAGGATACAAACAGCGTGTAGTCTTAGAGGTTTTAGGCAACAGGCTTGCTCACCCAGATATGGATTGGCTGCCTTTTCGTGGCCTGACCGCTGTCCACCCGCGCGGGCTAGCTTCGTCTGACCGCTGAGCAGCTGGCGTGAGTGTTGAAAGTCTCTCCAACCACCCTCAAATCCCTTGCGCTGCGAAGCACCAAAATGGAAGCATGGAAGTATTTCGCGAGTTGTAGCACCCACCCTATAACTGTTCTAAACCCTGACATTAAAAAACTGTGGGACTACTTCACCTCCGTGAAAAATATGATGAAAAATCATGACAAGCAATTACTACACGGAACCATGTGAAAGATGATGGGGAAATTTTTAAAAATCATTTTTTTAAATCAGTAGCAACACACACACTTGTCTCCGGGCCTTCAGCCATGCACCTCACTTACAACACACAATATGCACGGTGGCTTGGACACATTGCGCCACACAACATGCGCACCCACGCATTCATGCACAAACATTGTTACACACACAACACCACATACACAACCACACACCAAGCACACGAACAGCCCTCGGCACGCACCCACACACACACCTAATTCGCCCACACACCAGCACCCAAGCAAACGGCAAACACACACTACCCGACGCACTATGCGGAGTACTCACCTTTGGCTGCGCATCGATCAGAATATAATGCCATTGAGTGCTGCCGGAAGTTGTGTGTCGTGGAATGTTCCCATTGGGGAACATCGCCTTCCTATCCTTCCGACATTGCTGGCGCCGTGCAGCCCACGTCGTGGCAGGCTCGTCGCCTCGCCCTGCCTGCTGCACCGTCTCTGCGGGTCGTCATGGTGATGCCAATGTCGTCATGTTGTGCTCCGTTTAACTGACTAGCCATGATCTCAGACCGCGCCTGCCACGGCAAGGTTGTGCATTCTAGAACCGATTTTTTTATCGTTTCCACCTCCAACGCATTCATCTAAACGCCGGAGGTAGCAATGGTGGGAAATTTAGTTTAAGAGTAATTGTTTGTCGCGCAAGTTAGGTGTTAAAATTTCGTAGTATCTTTTAAAAAAATAGTAGTACCATTGTCTTATTTTACAATAACCAGGGTATTATAATGTTTAAACACTGTTAAACATGCTTACGCAAACCAGCCAACAGTCACCGACAAATTGGGGCATCAGGTACTGCCTCTACTATCTTTAGAGTGAAAGTCATCAACTCGTTCCTGATGACCGATGTAGATGGCGACACCTCCACGGTCCCGGCAGACAGAGCACACATTTCGATGACAACAATACACTTCGTAAGCACCGTCGTTCTGCACGAGACGGGGAAGGCGCGTGGGAGGCGCAAAACTCGATCGCGATCATCTCGTCCGGGTGGTTCAGCCGCCTGTAGTATCACCTCGATGCACCTGCCAATCACACGCAGTCTCCCGGGCCATCACGCCACCGCTTCCACTCGCATTAAGTGGCCATGACGCCAGCGGCTTTAGAAAACTTACTGGATATAATATAGTTATATTAATGGTTAATAAACTATTAATTAATTGTGTATGTGTATGTGTTGTCGATATTACATTTGTAAATAAAGCAATAGTACGTCATGCCAATTGAATAAAATAAACTTAATCGAATGGTCTTGTCACTTGACCCGCGACGACAAAGCAGCAAACATGACCGGCCGCGCAATGATAAGCAGTGGCCTCACGCGGCCAGAAAATAACAGCATTTCTCGAATCAGTGGCATTTTCGATTAACCCAACCCTAAAAAACTATTGAAATATTTTTCGCGAGGGAGAAATAATAGAGACCGGCGTACGTGTTTGAGCACGGGCGTCTGTGGGACAGTGTGATTGTACGTTCTTCAGCACGAGCTGCAGACAGCGACAGACGTCAGTTGTTACGTCGATCTTCGCCGCTCAGTTGCTGAAAGGCAAGCGTGGACAACACCGGTCAGGACACCCGGCGACACGTACGCAGTGTATACGATTGTGAATGAGTTACGTTAAACAGAGAGTGAGCAAATAATGATATAAATATATATCTTAATTGATCCTCGTCTAATATTAATATATTATAAAATAACAAATTAATCTGTGAATTTTATAATATATTATTAACAATTAATTTGTGTTTTAAAATTCATTAATTCAAGAATACATGAATTTCGTAGTAATAAATAAAGAGTTTCCAATGACACTGGTGCTCACCTTGGGGGGTGTGATTAGAAGCAGGGAGGGGGGATATTATAAAGCAAAAGAGTAATTAGTAATGGCGAGGAACTCCCATTATAATACGTAATTAGACGAAAAAGAAAACGCTAAAGTGAGCGACATTTTTTAATCTTCTCCCATAGGAGTAACAACGTGTTTTAGGGCGCTAGCCTTACACATTCACATACTAAAAAAAAATTTTTTTTAACAAAATAAAAGTGAATTCTAGCATGGCCATGTTTTTTTAGATTTTTTTTGCCACAAAAGTGGGCGTTGGCTCGAAAGATACGTCGGACGTGGCCGTGCCCTCCAAACTAAGAAGTGTTCAAAATCTCTCCCATAGGAGTAACAACTGTATTCAATTTGAACATGTGGGTCAAACCGGTCTTGAGTTATCAGTTGACCGTAGGCAGAGCCACTGAAATGCATAGTGATATCTGCAATAAAAATCTAACCTAATGTTGCATAATCTTAAAAACCCAAATATCAAAACCTGGCGATGTGATATGTTTTGGCGGCCAGTCCTTATTCATTCACTATTCTAGAAGATGAGCAAAATCCCGTTTGAACCCGCTGAACTGGCTTATTGGCCATTTCCATTTTTTTGCCAAAAAGATGGGACCACTGGCTCGAAAGAATGCGGCGCGTATAGGCGACTGCGCGTGCTCCAAATAGGACAGTTCAAAACCTTCTTACCATAGGACGTAAACAACGATATGCAATTTAAAACATGTGGGCAAATGGCTTCTGGTTCTTGAGTTATCGTTGACCGTAGCAAAAATGTTGACGGAGAGACGGACGGAGACGGACAACACCCCCTGGCAATAGCTCATCTTGACGATGTCTAGGCGAGCTAAAAATAAATAATCAATACGTTTTATGATAGCAGATGGCAGCACTGACAGCAGACAACCTACCGGACGTGATCACCATGGAAACAAGATCACAGAATTCTGGCTTTGGGAACAGGGCGGCGTGCTGCACCTGCAGTGACTGTAGGATGTCCTCACACCATTGCACCGCCAGCTTCCTGCAAGCACGACAGACCATGCACCAATGTAGGCGAGGTGCCCCTATCACCGCAATCGCCGGCTAACCTTCACCCTCCCCTTACGCGACACAGACAAACACAGACAGGGACGTGAGGTGCGTTTGCTGCAGGCATTACTTTCGATTAGTCGTGTCGCATCCAAGTAATATTTTGAGAAGTTACTATTCCCGGTAAAATACCACTGAAATCGTAAAATATAACGTTCGGCACCGTTCAATTCGCAGCGATTAAAAAACCTCACGATCAAACACTCTAAAGTTAGTTCACACATGAGTTCTAGTTTTTTATCGACAATGTGGCAACAAGGCAAAGGGACGCCATGGCCTTGAGGTGAAATGTGACCTTGAGGCAGTCTGTGACCTTGAGGTAGTGCGTGATGTTGAGCCGGTGATTGACCATCGCACAGTGTGTGACCAGTGGATGGCTTTAGGACTCTTACCTCGCGTCCCAGCTGGTGGTCTCCTGCCGCAGCAGCCTGGTCAGCAGGGTGAGGATCTTGGAGAGATGGCCGCTGGTCTGTGCAACCTGGCTGGACAGCAGGCAGCTGGTCGAGATGAAGTTGCCATGCCTGCGCGCGCGAGAGAGATTTCACAACTCAACATATCTCATCAAATTTGTCTGCCAAGCTGACAATTACATACTATGTCCGTGTATGATATGTTTATATGTATATATATATATATATATATATATATATATATATGTATATATAATCAAGAGTGGATTTTAATAGAGAAGAGTATGTCACGGTTTTAACAGCGTTTTGGGCATAGTTTTCAACTGGTAAATAATCTATGAATATGTGAATAAATATATTCAACACTTATAGCCTTGTTTTCATCTATAATTCTTTCCCTTCGTCATACTGACACCACAATTTACTGACTCGTATGTGTTTCTTTCAAAAAGAGTAGTTGAAATAACGACCGGTTTCCCACAAGTTTTCACGCTGGATGGCATCTCTTCCGACCCAACTTTGTATGGGACTAGTGTTCTAGTTGTCTTGACGAACTTTGGGGGTCGTATGGGATATTAAGGCATCCGAATTGTTATTCAGCGTGCAGCGTTTCCCAGCAGTGCTAAAATAAATGCTACCTCACGCCAGCTAGCTAAGCAGCTGATTCTCTTACGGCCCCCCAGCCGTACGAGTCATAGAAATAGAACACTAGTCTTAACAAAGTTTGGGTCGGAGAGCTGCATCATGGCCGTGAAAACTGTGGGAAACGCGTGTTCGTATTCACTAACTTTTTTGAGAACACATACGATTTTGCATGTAACTTGATGGTGTCATAGTGACGAAGGGAGAATCATAGATGAAACAAGGTAAAGTTTAATATATTTATTCGCAACATTGCTAGATATTTACAGTTGAAACTATGCCAAAACGCTGTAACTGTGAATACTCCTTCTCTTATCCACTCTTGATCTAAATATATATCTATATATATATAAATACATGATATACTATGTATATATATATATATATATATATATGCTTGTATAATATATATAGAAAATAATTTAATAAATAATTAAAATAATTAATTTAAAAAGTAGGCATGTGCCCGCCACGTTGGTGGAGAGCGGTTGAGGAACAGACGCATGAGCAGTACTGTACCAGGGTGGCTTGCCGCTAGATCCTCCATGCGGGGTCCGATGATGGTGACAGAGCAGCTCAAACAGCTAGGGATGTGAGCGCCCAGCACTTACGTGAGAGAGACGGCGAAGAAAGTAAAGAGAAGAGAGAGAGAGACATAGAGAGAGGAAAGAGAGAGAGTAAGAGAGAGAGAGAGAAAGAGAGGGAGAGAGAGAGAGAGAGAGAGAGAGAGAGAGAGAGAGAGAGGAAGAGGAGAAAAGAGAGCAAGAGGAGAGAGAGAGAGAAAGAGAACAGAGAGAGAGAAAGAGAGAAGAGAGAGAGAGAGAGAGAGAGAGAGAGAGGGAAGAGAGAGAGAAAGAGAGCAGAGAGAGAGAGAGGAAGAGAGAAAGAAAGACGGAAGAGAGAGAGAGCAGAGAAAGAGAAGAGACAGAGAGAGAGAAGAGAGAGAGAGAGAGAAAAGAGAAAGAGAAAGGAGAGATAGAGAAGAGGAATGGAACGTCATCGGCTTGCAGACACCCGCTCCGCTACTTGAGTCTGCGTTTACTACTATCTCGACTCCGATTTACGTGACCCGACGACGCGTTCCTGCTGCACGTCAGCCCGAGTGAAACATCCGTGAAACAAGGCTGATGCAACGTGGACATGCGACGCGTTGTACGATTAATTCACACCTATAGACAACGAGTCATCATACGAGTATGCTAACGAAGAGTTAACTATTAACCGGCGCCGGTCAGCTAACAGACGACCACTAGCGCCCTCTCACACCCCCCGATGATGGAATTACTGGTCGTCGGGCAATCTCGGTGGCCGTCCAGCAGGAACTGACGACGTGGCGACGCTGCGGAGGCGTGTAGGTGGCTCCGGTTGGGTCGACGTCGTCCGTCTCTTCGATGATGACCCGGCTTGCCGTGGCTGCCACCACTGTCAGAGGGCATTGGACCAGGCCGCTCGCTGCATGTCTTAAGCAGTGTCTGCAAGTGAAGAGAGGAGAGTGGGTTCAGATGCAAAATATTACCTCAATAATACCTATAAACACCCATAATAAATATTGTCTTCATCGGTACTACACATTTATCTGAATTTAATATTAATAATTGTATTACGCGAATTAAGCACTCCAGCATGTTACCACAGCTCGTGACTATAATAACAATATACATCAGTGGTAATGTATTAAATAAAAATAAAAATAAAAAATGTCCTTATTTATTAAGTTAATTACGTTAATTAGACGGCGTGCGTGTGCTCTCACGCTTGATGCACGTCGAGCAGCAGCGTCTTGAGTCCCAGCACAGAGCTGGTAGATCTGCATCGCGCTGCTTGCAGCGGTGGCTCGCGAGCGAGAAACCGAGCCTCGGCCACCGACGCGTTCAGTCGCGCGCCCACTGACAACGGCCACGGGTAATCTCGGCCGCCGACGTCTCCTGCGATGACCTGCGTCAACATTACTATGTAACTAGAGCACTCGGAGAGCACAGACCTCGCCGCCAAGGCAGCTAATTCTCTCACTGTGAAATTTTTTTATTAATTTATTAATTACGTGGAAAAATTAATTGAATTAATTAACTAATAATTAATTGGATCGCGATTAGTGAGCGAGCGTGCAGCGTCTGGGGGAGGGCTGTGGTTGCCCCTTAGCTGAGTTTGCGTGTTTGTAAGTGCTACAGCCAGTGCACCTAGCGAGGTGAATGAATAGACGTGCATGGTACACACACACAACCAACAACACTCATGCACCGGCCGGTGACAACATAACCTCCGCACGGCCTGGCGGAGGTAATTACTCAAATGTAAAGTTGGAGTACGACTCTGGTAACTCTCAAAGGCATTGCTAGTGTAAGGTTTATGCAGTAAAGACTTGATTGGGTATTTTTTTAATTTGAGTATTATCTAGGCGCAGTTTGATTGACCGGAAATTTATTGGATTTATTTTTATATATTTTTATATATATGGATAATTGTTATTAAACAGGTTTTATAGGTCATTATTGAGTAATTAACTAAGACGCGGGGGGACGCCGCGCGTAGTCACTTTCTGAGAGAAATGTGCCAATGTCGTGAGCAGGTATTGACGGCACGCTGGCGGCACCAGCCGCTGCATCTCACAAAGTCGGGCGAGCAACGCGTACGCAGCTGGTTGGGCCGCCGTGCGATGCGCGAGCAGCTCTATGAGCAGTGGGTTTTGCTGGAGGAATGATGACAAACGTTAACGAGCTGTCGACAGAAAACAATGCAACATAGCAAAAATGGTCTTCAACATGGGCTCTGGTATTTGTCAATTCTCATCAAGAACAGCGCTTTGCGATCAAGCGAATTTAAATT